AAGGAGTTATAATAACTCCTCTAGTGGGGCTAATTTAACTCCTTACAGTGGAGTTATTTTGGGGGGAGTTATTTTAACTCCAAAAAGGAGTTTAAAGATCTCTTTTTCAGGAGTAAAAGTGACCCCAGATATTGAGGAGTTAAAATAACCCCCATAAAGGAGTTATCCTGTACCTAACATTTTTACTCCACTTTCGGAGTTAAATTAACTCCAAAAAGAGTAAAAACGACCCATGTAAGGAGTAAAAATAACCCCATTTAGGAGTTATTTTAACTCCAGACTGGTAGTAAAAAGAACTCTTTTTCAGGAGTAAAAATGACCCCAAATTCGGAGTTAAATTAGGAGTTAAATTAACCCCAAAAAAGGGGTTATCCTGTACCTAAAATTTTTACTCCATTTTTGGAGTTATAATAACTCCCTAAAACTTACGGTGCACCGCTTTCTATCCCTGTGCGTTGCTTACGTCTGATTAAGGTGGCTCGAACCTATTTATATGCGCGTTGGTTATATTTTTGAATCGCGTTTCCGGCAGGAAAGATTTAACCGATTTCTATGATTTTTGGCACTTTTACAAAAGAATGGTCGAACTTTGAGAAAATGTTAATTATTTATCTTCTTGTAGGTATAAAAAGGTTTGAGATATCGGTATGTGTTTAAAACCGCATTTTTACAAGAAAATGTCAATAATTTAGAAACCCTAGTAGGTTTTTCTCTAACTTCTTCAGCAAATAAGCCTCAGAGCTCTATAGTTTTACATCTGCAAGTTTGACGTCAATCGTGACCGTAGAACTCGCTGCACAAAAAACTGGTCAAATTTAACGTTAAAATGCAAAGCTAACACCACATTATATTTGTGAAAGTTGACACACAAATAGAGGAAAACTACTGAAGGACTATCTCCTAAGTGAAAGGGTATTCTTGCCGAAAGCTTCAGAAACCTACGGCAAAGAACAATTTTATGCTGAATGCGGGGCAAGATTAAAGAACATCTATTTATCAAAGTTACTGTGTATTTGCCTTTCTCTTTTCTAAAAAGTCTTAATAAAGCAAGATGTAGCATCTACGGAAATCTCCTACCAGTTTTTAGCACCGAAGGTGCCCGAAAGAGAGGAGAAATAAAGCCACCAACTCCAGTACTTCAACCGATCCATTTTCAGCTACAACGAAAACCCTTGTATTTAGGTAATTTATTCAAGCTTGTTTGATTTGCCATCTCATTCAAACAGGCATTGCGAATTTGCCATTGGGAATATTATTTTCTTCATCTTTATCCCCAAGAGGCGAACTTCCCGTGCGAATGTGATCTCAAGTCTAAAAAGCTTGAATAAATTACCAAGTACAAGGGCTTTCGGGGCAGCTGAAAATGGACGGTTAGAAGTACAGGAGTTGGTCGCTACATTTCTCCTCAAAACGGAAACCTGCGACGCTAAAAACGCTTGAGAGTTTTTCTTATATGCTATATTTTGCCTTGTTAAGATAGGTTAAGAACAAATTACTGTATTTTCGAAATGAAACATGCTTCGAGGCTGAAAACTTCTACAAAGATTTATTTTCTATTTATCTTCAACCTAGTGTAAATAAGAATTCGTAAAACTTCGCTTTTTTGACTTTGCAATCTGATGATGTCACTGTGAAAACCATCAATTTTCAAAATTTCAACTGGATTGGGTACCCTCTGTAAAAAATATTTGTGTAAAAAATGTTGTTGTACTATATTATTATGCGAAAGATATTTTTTGTTGCGATAAATGAGAAAAAAATCTTTTCATTCATCTCAATACGGTGTCTAATAATCTCAAGGACGTTCTTAGCTAATAATTAGAGGATGTTAGCATCAACAACGAGTACGAGTAAGAGAACGACTTCAAGCCGTACTCGTACTCGAAGTCGTTTTCTCAGCTTTCTATGTTAGCGATGACACCGAGTTCGAGTTCATAGAACTGTGTAGGAAATATCGCGTTCGGTTGCTTTTCCTCGACTTCAAAAGCAGTATTTTACATATAAACATAATATAAGGAATGTTCAAGATGATAAAGAGAGGCTAGAAACGAAAAGAGACTGCATTAAACGATCGTAATTTACCTTTGAAAACCAGCTCTTCCCAGTCGTTCTACCCACTTCGAGTTTTTGGTGAGAACTCGACCTAGTGCAACTTGACAGGACGACTTGAAAACGTGGAGATGCGCAGAACGGATGCGCAGTACGCAAAATCGCTGATCTCGTTCTTGAACTCGTACTCGTTGTCGATGCTAACATCCTCTATTAACAATAGAGGCGACACCTTACACTATTGACTACACGAATATTGTCACCTGCAAAAGAACCAGTTACACTCAAATTAAACACCACACTTTCATTACTGCATTTCAGTTAGAACATGTTCTGTTGATACTAGCGAGGCAAAAACGATGGCGACGGCTACAAAAACGTCACTTAAAATGAATTCGCGCTGTCTCAAACTTTTTATCGCTCTTATCCCATCTCGTTTACTTCGTCAAATGTTGGCAAATGTTTTTGGAGTTGAATTCTAAAGGACTGTATCAAAGTTCAGGAAAAAAAAAATAAAGTTGTTGTCTTGTGTTCCCGTCCTAGACAAAACGTGAATTTAGGCACTTTCACGCTGTAGTCGTCCAACGACGGCAAAGAAATGTACAAAAAAGCATGATGCACGTGCAAAGTTGTTGTTTTGCTAATCTAAATCTATTGATTTTTTGCCGCTCCTGTTGCCATCGCCGTCGTAGTTGCTTAAGCTCCCTACTGACATTTGGTCGGCAGTTACACTCAAAAGAATCGAAAATGACATTGAATGTTCTACTTACATGTTGGAAAGTAATAAATACTATCAGTCTATAGAAACAACTCGCGGGAACGTTGTTTAGAAAATGATCAAATGGTTATCAACTCTG